GCTAGTCACACACCAATGATATCCCTTTGGTACAGCAGTCCTCGTAGTGACTAGGCCAGTTTCTAGTATGTCACAATTTGGCCGTTTGCAAGTTGCAAATGAACATCACCGATCCCTGTCCGCATGTAATTGGACAGATCTGACAATTTTCAAGTGTATTCTTAGTAACTTTACATCTATGTTAATCATTTTGAGTTTTGTAGGTACGTAATTGATTAATTTGTTCATGGTTCATTTATTACTCCATGGAACCAATTGCCTTTGTAGGCATGGCATCCAGTATTGAACAGTTTACTAAGCAAAGTGACATTAATTACACCCGGTTGAAGTTACGTGAATTTATCTTTTGTACTATTTACACATTGTAAACAGGCTAGGCTCTAGAGCAAGTTTTCGGGGAGGGGCAAGGGGCTACATGTAGATCCTTTGAGCATTAATTGCCAGGATCTTTCAGCTGATCCTCTCCTTGTTTATTCCCCCTTATCACCTTTTGACCTTTTCTGGACATGCATGATGTCATAAATTTGATTCCTTGTTTGTTTTTCAATTAAATATTTCGTGAGTGTATTTTAATTTTTTATTAAGGAGGAGTTTTATGGGGCTACACACATTTTTTTTTTGGGGGGGAGGTTAGAGTCCCCTGAGGAACTGTGCCTATAGCTGTGTATGTATTTGTTTGCAAAGTCTATTAATACTTATTTTCTGAGCAGAATATGGCGAGACAGCTACGAACGCGACGAATTTCACCATTACAAGCTGCTGAGTTATGGTGTGACCTTAGTACCGATCAAAAAGGTTTTGAGAAAAGGCTGGTGAATAGATGCATTGGTAAGAAACCAGAATAAGATTGTTAAGTGCTTTTGAAGGTGATACAACCTTTTATTTTTATAAGTGCGTGGTAAAAACACTGTATGTTCCTACACATGAAAAGTTTAATCATGATGTTAAAGTTTTACCATTAAGAAATTACCAATACCAGTTGAAAATATGTATGAGTGCGGTCAATTTGATATTAAGCTACATGGTGACTGTCTCAATGAACCAGAAACCTTTGAACTTGACATTTCCCTGCAGAACTTAACCACACGTTTGAGTTCAGAACTTAGCGTAATCATAACTACATGTATATAGAATCAGAACTATAGGCATGTGCATGTATGTATTACACGGAATACATGTACACTGTACATGCACTTACATATGCATGCACTGACTTTTCTGGTACCCCACGTCTAAATTTAGAACATCTTACAATTTGAAAAAGAGACAATCCCACACTTTTGTCCAGGGACTATAATCACCCCTTTAACCAGTGAGAATATCAAACTTTGCAAATTTGGTGATACTTACTGCCAGTAATATTGTTTCCACTACAGTTTTCCAATCTGGTGAGAGCCCACAGATCACTAAATGATCATGAGTTACCTTATTTTTTCTTCATTTTTACATTTTATGTTAATGTAGGATATGGACTTTTTGCAACCAAGGCCTTCAGCAAAGGGAGCTTTCTCCTGGAGTATAGAGGAGTCCTTACTAGTCCTGAAGAGAATGATGTGAATGACATGGACTATGTGTATCATTTTTTCCACAAAGGTGCCGCATACAGGTCAGTTTATTTTATTCTTGTTACAATATGAACGCATAGCCTCTAGCTGTTGCATTTTAGTGTATATCCTGCTATAGCCAGATGTTATTTGGAAACTAGTCTGATTAAATTGAAATTCAAGGATTTGTCACAAATTGAAACTGGTGAATTACCAGTTATTAAGTCACAAGACTCATGTTTCAGTTCAATTTTTTTCAATTAATACAGTTTTCAAATTGATATCCCTCAACTTGTTTGATAGTCATACAGATACATGTATATGAAAATTGCTCTTGGGATTTTCTATCATAAGCACAAATGTAGAATTTAGCCCCCCACAGCCTCTCAAAAAAGTACCTAAGCACCTAATTTTTTTTAATTTTTCCAAATACCTGTGTGAGTTATATAACAGTGGAACAGTGTGAAGATAACATAATGTCATGATTCTATATGATTATCTTAAGTGGTACTAGTAGTAACTGCAGCTCGCAAATCGACTCTTTTTCGACTTTGACTTTGACATGTCGATCAGTAAAGCTGCAGGTGGTAGCTAGCTAGCTAACTAAACATGGATTGCCCATGTAAAACAAAAAATCATGGCCCCCTCGTGACCCTGCACAATCGTGCCCAAAAAGTGACTCAATAAAGGTTTTGATTGTCCTAATAATCACGCCTACTTATCTTCAAGAACTCAGCTACCTTCTGGTACTTCATAAATTCTGTCATTTAGTTAGGCAACCACCTGCACAGCTCTACTAATCGACATGTCAAAGTCGAAAAAGAGTCGATCAGTGAACTGCAGTTACTACAGCTAAAGTGGTACATGCCAAAATATAAATTTACTTCATGCAAATGTTTTTTTTTGGTGTTTCAATTCAAAGTTACAAGTGCCCAAAACCACAACTCTTTAAAAATATTTACATGTACTAGATTAACTTGAATAGCCTAACATTATGAAACGTGTTTTTGAAATTGATTATTTAACGCAACTGCCCCTGGATTATTTGCCTATGGGAAAGTCAAATGCAGCTGTATGGTTTGTTCCTAAAGTAAACTTTTATAGGATTGAAAATAAATGAGTCTTGTATTCTTGTAGTCACTGCAAACAAAAATCTGTAAAAATACAAAAAAGAGTACTAAAATATGCATAAACCTAGAATTATATGTATTGGTTCATTTTCGGTTTTCTTTTATAGAATTGATGCGTCACAGCAAGATTCATGTTTGGCAAGGTGGATCAATGATGACCGCAGGCATCCAAACTGCACAATGAAGAAGATGGTTTTTGAAACAAGCAAAGAACCCCACCTCTGCTTATTTGCTTTGGAGGATATAGACATAAACACTGAACTGCGGTATGACTATGGAACACGAAACTTGCCCTGGAGACAGGTGAGCAAAGAATCTTTTCATTTCTTATATAGATTTTTTCGAAAATTCTTAGATGGAAAAGTTGAGGCATGATAAGGGTGCTTGAATGGGCCACTCCCTTAGCCGTTTCTAGTGTACACCAATGTAGTTCTGGTGTCCTTTTGGTGCATGCTCAGTGATACCTGCACTAGAAGTACACCAATATCAACTTTACACCAAAGTACACTAATAAGGCACCAAAACAGCACTAAATTGTCTCAGCTCGCCTATGTGC